TTTCACTATGTTGGCCAGGCTGGTCTCGAACTCCTGACCTCTTGATCTGACCACCTTGGCCTCTCAAAGTGCTGGGATTACAGACGCGATCCACCACACTCAGCCTCCTTTTTATTTTTTTATTTTTTATTATTTTGAGATGGAGCCTCACTCTGTCGCCCAGGCTGGAGTGTAGTGGTATACTAATTTTTGTATTTTTAGTAGAGACGTGGTTTTACCACATTGACCTGGCTAGTCTCAAACTCCTGACCCCAGGTGATCCACCCCCCTTAGTTTCCCAAAGTGCTAGGATTACAGGCATGAGCCACTATGCCCGGCCTCAGAATTCCTTTTTAAAGCTGAATAATATTCTATTATACACACACACACATATATACATATATATACACATATATACATATATATATATATATCCCACATTTTGCTTATCCTTTCATTTGTTGATGGATACTTGGGCTGTGTGACTTTATGGGTTTTTTTTTTTTTTGAGATGGTGTCTCACTCTGTTACCCAGGCTGGAGTGCAATGGCGCAGTCTTGGCTCATTGCAACCTACGCCTCCCAGGTTCAAGCAATTCTCCTGCCTCAGCCTCCCCAGGAGCTAGGATTACAGGCGTGCACCACCATACCTGGCTAATTTTTCTATTTTTAATAGAGATGGGGTTTCATCACGTTGGCCAGGGTGGTCTCGAACTCCTGACCTCAAGTGATCCACCCACCTCAACCTCCCACAGTGCTGGGAAAACAGGCGTGAGCCACTGCGCCCGGCCAGGCTGTGTGACTTTGGGCCAATCATTTAACCTCTCTGCTGGGAGCGTGGGTGTATAAATATCTGAATCCCTGCTTTCAGTACTTTTGGGTATATACCTAGAAGTGAAATCGCTAAGTCATATTGCAATTCTATGTTTAATTTTTTGAGGAACTGCCGTACTGTCTTCCAGAGCAGCTGTGCCATTTTACATTCCCATCAGCAGTGCACAACAGTTCCAGTTTCTCCACTTCCTTGCCAAAACATGTTATAGTCTATTATTTTTGTTTCTGTTTTTTATAATAACCATCCTACTGGGTGTGAAGTGGTTGCCCTTTTTTTTCTTAACCACCCTATGGGAATCTTAGCTACTCTGATCATGATTTTCCTCCTCCCTCCCTCCCTCTGTTTCTTCCTTTCTTCATCAAATATTTATTGAGCATCTACTATGTGCCAGGCCCAGTGCTAAACACTAGGTGTATGGTGATCAGTAAAACAGATGTGGCACCTGCCCTCATATAGCTTGCTCAATCATAAGCCAGATATTTAGGAGAGAGCAATCTCTTCAGTGTTGCTTTAGCAAATGAATGTTATCCTGTGACACAGAAAACAAATGTCTCATTGATCTCTGTAAATGCTAAACCATAAAGATGGAAGAGATGAACACCCCGCCTCTATTCCCCAACAAATAAGAATTTATGCCAGGCACGGTGGCTCATGCCCGTAATCCCAACACTTTGGGAGGCTGAGGTAGGCGGATCACTTGAGATCAGGAGTTTGAGACCAGCCTGGCCAACATGGCAAAACCCCATCTCTACTAAAGATACAAAAATTAGGCCGGGCGCGGCGGCTCAAGCCTGTAATCCCAGCACTTTGGGAGGCCGAGACGGGCAGATCACGAGGTCAGGAGATCGAGACCATCCTGGCTAACACGGTGAAACCCCGTCTCCACAAAAAACTAGCCGGGGGAGGTGGCGGGCGCCTGTAGTCCCAGCTACTCCGGACGCTGAGGCAAGAGAATGGCGTGAACCTAGTAGGCGGAGCTTGCAGCGAGCTGAGATCCGGCCACTGCACTCCAGCCTGGGCGACAGAGCGAGACTCCGTCTCAAAAAACAAACAAACAAAAAAAAGATACAAAAATTAGCTGGGCGTGGTGGTACTCACCTGTAGTCCCAGCAACTCAGGAGGCTGAGGCACGAGAATCACTTGAACACAGGAGGCAGAAGTTGCAGTGAGCTGAGACCGTGCCACTGCACTTCAGCCTAGACAATAGAGTGAGACTCTGTCTCAAAAAAAAAAAAAAAAAAAAAAAAAAAAATTTATGATCATTGAGCAAGGAATGCATTACAGCATCAACTCTTTGACTCCCAAATGGGAGGAGATTTGGAAGCTAAGCTATATTCGTAGCTTAAAAAGACCAGAGAGGAAAGGACAGGGAGTCTGAGAAATGGGAGACTGATGCTAATAGGCCTCAGCAAGACCTGGCGGTGTCTGGAGCTGGAGCAAGTAGCTTGAAAAGGAACTGAGATGTTTGGCTCAGAGCAGAAGGATTTGAACGAGGCTGCAATGTGTCAAAATCTCAAAAAGCTCAAAACATAGAAGGCTGTACTTCCAGTGAAGGCAGAACTGGAGTCCGAGATGGATCTTCTATATTACTTTTATTCATCAATTCCACTCATTCTTTCAAACGTTTATTTTACACTTTCCATGTGCCAGGTTATGCCAAGGTACTGGGTGTATTTTGGTGACTAAAACAAACTTGGCCTCTGCCCATATGGACTCATAGTCTGGTGAAGGAGCCAAACAGTAAACAAATAATCAAGCAAATGCATCACACAAATGGGAAGAATGGTACGTAGGGGGAAAAAACAGTGTGGTAAGAATGTCTTGGGAGGGAGATGTTCGGTAAATAAAAGGGTGTTTACAGGCTGGGCATGGTGGTTCACACCTGTAATACCAAAACTTGGCTGGGCCAAGGCGGGTGAATCACCTGAGGTCAGGAGTTCAAGACCAGCCTGACCAATATGGTAAAACCTGTCTCTACTAAAAATACAAAAATTAGCCGGGCATGGTGGTGTGCACCTGTAATCCCAGCTACTTGGGAGACTGAGGCAGGAGAATTGCTTGAACGCGGGAGGCAGAGGTTGCAGTGAGCTGAGACCACGCCACTGCACTCCAATCTGGGCAACAGTGAGACTCCGTCTCAAAAATAAATAAATAAAAGGGTGTTTGCAAATGACTTCTTTGAACAAGTGATATTTAGGCTAAGACCAAGGGGCAAGAAGTTGTTGGTCATCAGAAGAGTGTCTTGGCCAGGCGTGATGGATCATACCTGTAATCTCAGCACTTTGGGAAACCAAGGCAGGAGGATCACTTGAGCCCAGGAGTTCAAGATCGGCCTAGGCAACATAGGGAAACCCTGTCTCTACAAATATATATAATATGTGTGTGTGTGTATATATATATATAAAATATATATATATATTTTTTGAGACCTAGTTTTGCTCTTGTTGCCCAGGCTGGAGTGTAGTGGCACCATCTCGGCTCACCATAACCTCAGCCTCCTGGGTTCAAGTGATTCTCCTGCCTTAGCCTTCCTGAGTTGCTGGGATTACAGGCACGTGCCACCGCGCCTGGCTAATTTTGCATTTTTAGTAGAGATGGGTTTCTCCATGTTGGTCAGGCTGGTCTCGAACTCCCAACCTCAGATGATCCACCCATCTTGGCCTCCCAAAGTGCTGGGATTACAGGCATGAGTCATGGTGCCCGGCTTTACAAATAATTTTTGAAAAATGATCTGGCAGTGGCAGCATGTGCCTGTGGTCCCAGCTACTCAGGAAGCTGAGGTGGGAGGATCACTTAAACCCAGGAGGCAGAGGTTGCAGTGAGCTGAGATCATGACACTGCACTCCAGCCTGGGTGACAAAGTAAGACTCCGTCTCAAAAAAAAAAAAAAAGAAAATGAATTTGAGGGGCCAAGGTGGACGCCATAGAACCAGTCAGGAGGCTATTGCAATGGTCCATGTGAGAGAAGTTTGCAGTTGGGACCAAGGGTTTGGGAGTGGGTGGACCTGAGATGCATTTTAGAGTTGGATTCTTCAAGACTGAATGCTAGGTTGTTGTGGGTGAAAAGAAGGAGAGGGAGGAATGCAGACTCCCCGTGGCAGTGTGTGCATAGAGGTACCGCTGATGGAGATGGGAGGACTGGGAGAGGAATAAATCTAGGGGGACAAAAACTGGGAGTGAGGTTTGGAAAGGTTAAATCTGAGATGCCTATGAGTCATCCATGTGGAAATGTCCAGTAATTAGTTATGTCTGGAACACAGAGCAGAGATTTGAGCTGGAGAAATAAATTTGGGAGCCAGGGAAAGACGAAATTCCCTAAAGAGAGCTTAAAGGGAAAAGAAAAAAGCCCAGGATTAAGCCCTGGGAAGTGCAGGTCCTTCAATATCTATAAGTGAGGGCGAGGAGGAGGAAGAGGAGGCAGTGAGACAGGAGGAATGGCAAGAGACTGTGGCATCCTAGAAACCAAAAGGGGGAGGGGTGCCTTGAAAAGGAGAAGAGTAGGAAGTGTTCATCAGGTGTCCAGTAAGATGAAGAAAAAGGGGATCACCGGAGAGCTTCGAGATTGCAGCTTGGGGACAGAGTTAGACACAGGCACTAGGTAAAGTGGCATCCTAATTGTTGGGGCCACTGGGCTTTGTCGTGATCTCTGGGAGACTGTTGGAAGGTGGGGAGGTGGGTAAGGTCAGTGTGGCTGATGGAAAGGACCTGCTTTAGAAGTCAGGCAGTCTGGCCAGGCACGGTGGCTCACGCCTGTAATCCCAGCACTGGGAGACTGAGGCAGGTGAATCACCTGAGGTCAGGAGTTCGAGACCATGGTGAATCCTTATCTCTATTAAAAATACAAAAAAATTAGCTGGGCGTGGTGGCATGCACCTGTAGTCCCAGTTACTTGGGAGGCTGAGGCAGGAGAATCACTCGAACCCAGGAGGCGGCGATTGTAGTGAGCCAAGATCACGCCACTGCACTCTGGCCTGGGTGACAGAGCGAGACTCCATCTTGGGAAAGAAAAAAAAAGAAGTCAGGCAGTCAGAGCGTTTTGTCTCTCCTTTCCCTGCAGGGGGTCTGTGAAGACCATGCTAACCTGAGCCTGGCAAGATGGTACAGGGGTTCAACAATCCCTTGCCACATCCTTCTTCAGGCTCTGCTAATTCAGCCGCGTCCCTCTCCCTCTGCCTGTTCCCCTGCAGGACACTTCACGGCCATGGTATGGAAGAACACAAAGAAGATGGGCGTGGGGAAGGCGTCCGCAAGTGACGGATCCTCCTTTGTGGTGGCCAGATACTTCCCAGCAGGGAATGTTGTCAACGAGGGCTTCTTCGAAGAAAACGTCCTGCCACCAAAGAAGTAACTTGTTAAATGTAATAGGAAGGTGGCAGACTTCAGAACGTGGATATGAAGTGCCTAGAACAACCAAAACCCGGCCGTCCGTCTGTCCCTGTGGGTGTATGTGCTCGTGTGTGTGATGCATGTGAGTGTTTCTGGTACACACACTTGGGCATACAGTTCTGCGTGAGCTCATTCTTACTACAGGAGTGAGCAAAGGAAGCGTTTATCCCGATCGTTACCTAGACCACGATTATTTGGATTGGGGGGAGGGGGGAATCCGGTTTTTAAATTTTTTGTTATTTTTAAGCAAACTTCTTTTGTACTTTTCTTACTTCTAATATCCATCCCTGGACTTTTTGTATTCCAAATGTTTGTGATGCTGAGAAGTGAAGTTCATTTTATGTGATCTTCATGCGCCGTAATCTACTTTTGGTAGATAATTAAGATTATTAAACCCTCATTTAAATGTGACATAAAATACAGCTTTAAGCACATAAATATAAAGCAGCTTCCATCAGGAGCATGAAGCAGGCAGGGGCTCCATTTTACAGAATTACTGAGATTTCTCAGTTGTAAAACATGATGTCATCCTGCGTGCCTCCTGGAATTCTCCAATGGGGTCGCCAGAGAACAAATGGAGAAAAAAAGCTTTACTTCCTTGCATTCTTCTACCTTTAAATAGCAAAGTACCACTACCACCACCACCTCTTGCCCCCTTCCCTCTTTTCTTAAACTTCTGGCATTTCAGAGCTCAGCAGGCTACCCCTGGTTTCTGCAGAGTTGGGCTAGGCCTGAAGCTCTCCCTCCCCCACCTCTGCTAGGCAGCCCAGTCCTGGGCTGGGAGACAGCCCCTCACCCTGCCTGGGCTCTTGGCCAAGCAGCCTTGGATGGATGAAGTCAGAGAGGTGGAGTGAGGGTGAGTTTACTCAGAGCCCCCAGAGGAAGCCCTCCACCCTCTGCCCTCCCCCCACACAGGGCGGGAGCCCAGGCCTGTTCCTGGCAACTGTGGCTGCAGCTGTGCTGCTGCTCCCTCCTGGAATGTGTGACAAGCCCAAATGTTCCAGGGAGATGGCCGGAGTAGGGGGCTTAGAAATGCTAATATGGTTCTGTGTTTTGCCTGAAATGATACCAGGTTCCCCTGAATAGCAACTTTACAAGGTCCATGTGGGAGGGACCAACCCAGATGCCCTGCCAAGTGTCCCTGAAACCATGGCAGCCCCGTCTGTCAAGATGGCAGGGGCGGGAGTGAGCGGGCTGCTGGCTTAACTGCAGGCATCTGGGCAGGCCAGTCCTCAAAGCAGCTCCTGAGGGTCTGTATTGCACTGTGACCAGTCTCAAGCTATGCCTCTAATTTCGCCGGGGATATTGACTAAGAAGACAATAAAATCTTTTTCTTTGTGTAATATCCTCCTCCAATGTGATTCATATCTGATTCTCGGTGGCTGAGACAATCCATGACTCTGAATCCCTCTCTTAAATAATCCCAGAATACCTGCAATCCATTCCCTGTGGACTGTGTTGCTTAAGTGGCCAAGTTTTAAGCCATGTGACCCACCAGCACAGAACTGATTGGACTAGAGTGGACACTGTATCCAACGGCAGCCAATCACCAGGCTGGCCATGGACTGGGAATTTCAGCTAAGAATTGTGGAGAGAATTCACCAGTGGAACTGAAAAAAATAAGGATGCCATGAGTTGGAATTAGGGCCATGGCAAACCAAAGCTACTTGCAAGCCAAGTTATGAATGGGAAATACATAGAAGCAAAGAAGCCAGTTATTGGAGGTACAAAAGAGGAGGAGATGCTGAGAATATTCTTGAATGTTCCTGAGTTTTCTAGCTCCAGCCTAAATCTGTATATCTTTAAAATATGCCCCTCATTTTCTTCAGGGCTTCCAAAAAAACTGATATACCAGCTGATGGTACCCAAAGATTAGAATCATACCGTCTCATCCTAACGAGAGACATTGAACAGAAAATGTGGATCCTGGCAGGAAGCTGACTGTGGGTGAAGAGACCCTGCTGAGATCCTTTTCTGGCCCTACCTGGCAAGCTGCCAGCCAATGAACGTCTTGGTGGCTCCTCGGGTCAGCCCCCCACCCCAATACACACACACCCCCCAGGTGGTGGAAGCCAGAATGCAGCCCGCCTCTGTGGGCTGGAGTTTGTTCCCACAGTTGGCTGGATTAAGGAAAAAGCTGAACCGGTGAGCTTTCCTGGGCCAAAGAAATGCCAGACACTGAAGCTGGCTGAGCAGGTGGTCACTAATTCACTTTTAAGGATTTCTTGAAGACGGCAAGCCTCACAATCCAAAAAGAACAAGGACAAACCAAACTGCGGCTCTCCTTTGTAGCCAGAGGGTGGAGGAAGATCTCTGGGTGCAAGCCTCTTCCTCTCCCTGAGCCTCAATTTACCCACCTGCACGAGGTCTGTCACATGGAGTTAGGTCTATCAGTTCTCTCAGGTCCCCATGACACCTCCAGACCCAACTTAATGCTGGAAGTGTCTGATGAGAGAGCTCATTCCTGCCTTGGTGCTCTGGAACCCGAAACAAAAACAAACAGGCATGGCCACCTCCTCCACTAAAATGCTCCCAAGGCTGAAGCTTGCAGGCGGGAGGGCGGGGGAGAAGGGAAAGGAGGTATGAAGCAGCAGGGTCTGACCCACCCATCCCCTGCTCCTGGGTGAAGATGCCCCAGGAGGTGAGGTCTTCCAACCTGCATGTCCATGGGAGCCAGAAGGTGTCTGGCAGCAGCACCAAGAGGCCTCATCCTTCACCCAAGTTGCTGCTGCTTCGCAGAAGGTAAGGGCTGAAGAGGCATTATGACAAGCTTAATTATTCTCCCAGGAAGACTGGTCTCCGGAGGAGGAGGCTGAAATTGAAGTCCTCTTCCAATGGGGAAAACAGAAGTCCTTCACCTTGTGCATGTATCATATCCCAGGAGACCAAGTCTCTCTATCCCATTAGGGTGGGAAGGTGGACAAATTCAGTTTAAAAGGGTATTTTTGGCCAGGCATGGTGGCTCACGCCTGTAATCCCAGCACTTTGGGAGGCCAAGGTGGGTAGATCACGAGGTCAGGAGATCGAGACCATCCTGGCTAACCCGGTGAAACCCCGTCTCTACTAAAAAAAATACAAAAAACTAGCCGGGTGAGGTGGCGGGCGCCTGTAGTCCCAGCTACTCAGGAGGCTGAGGCAGGAGAATGGCGTAAACCTGGGAGGCAGAGCTTGCAGTGAGCTGAGATCCGGCCACTGCACTCCAGCCTGGGGGACAGAGCGAGACCATCTCAAACAAACAAACAAAAAAAAAGTGTGTGTGTGGGGGGGTATTTTCAAATAATTTTCAAGTCACCAAATCTAATAATAAAGAAAAGGCTAGTCTGGAATGAAAGGACGAGGGAGGGAGACAATGAGAATGAGAATATGACTAAGCCACGGAGGGAAAGAGCTGGAAGGGCTCAGATTCCCGAGGCTGACACTGAAATTTCCTGGGAAGGACGCCGAGAACGGCCCGAGGGTCTAGAGTGGGGCTTGGACCCAGATTGGGGGAGATAAGAGAGGCAACTCCTTCCTGAACCTTCTCGAGAATGCCTGGGCGAGATGCAAGTCCAGGCCCTTCTCTAGGGTCTCTTCCCAAAGACTGGTCCGGGTGGGGCAATGGGCTCTTTTGCCGCCGCCTCCCGCCCGCCCGCGGCGCTCCAGCTGGCCCTTATCTCCTCCTTGCACGAATAGCAGTGCCACAGACGCCCCACAGGACTCCGGGAGCCCCACGCCGGCCAGGAATCTGTCCGAGTCTGCGGGCACCCTCCTCTCTCCCTACAAAGGACTCGCAGGGATCAGGAATCCCCCTAGCTGTTACTGGGATTCGGAGACAGTCTGCTGGCCTCTGGAGGGCGCGCCTCCGTTGGAGGCTCAGCGTCCCCATCTGCAAAGTGGGGACAGGTGTGTGTCTGGGGAGATCTAATGAGTCCTGGCAGGCTGAGAGCCCCCGATCCTGCCGTTTGAATTCCAGGGTCGCGGTGGACCGCACGGCGCTGCCGCCTCTGTACGGTGGCGCGTGGAGGGAAAGCGAAAAAGGGGACGCGCCGCGCCTCTTTTCCATCCTGGAAAGGAGTTGGGGTCGTGCCTGGCGCAGAGGCGGTGCGCTCGGGGGCGGGGACGGCCCTCCAGCGCCACCGCGTGGCTGGACTGGACTCGGGCGGGCGGCCCAGAAGAGACGCGAGGGAGCCACAGCTTCCCCAGCTACCGCAAAACCAGAACCACGACGACCACAAGTTTTTGTGAAGGGAGCAGCCACGAACGCCGGAGCTGGGCGAACTGGTGTAATATGAATAAGAAAACGGCAGCTAGTATTCATTGAGCTTTATGACGAGCCCATTACTCTCCAGTCCTTTTCTCATTTAAACTCTAATAATAGGCCGGGCGCGGTGGTTCACGCCTATAATCCCAACACTTTGAGAGGCCGAGGCGGGCAGATCACATTTGGTCAGGGGTTCGAGACCAGCTTGGCCAACATGGTGAAACCCCGTCTCTACTAAAATTACAAAACTTAGCTGGGCATGGTGACAGGCGCTTGTAATCTCAGCTACAGGGGGAATGTGGGGGTGGGTGGGTAATAAAAGACAGGGGAATTGCAGTAGAGAAAGAGTAATTCACACAGAGCCGGCTGTACGTGAGACTGGAGGGTTTTATTTTTGGTTTTTTGGGTTTTTTTTTCTTTTTGAGACGGAGTCTCACTCTGTCGCCCACAGGTTGGAGTGCAATGATGCGATCTCTGCGCACTGCAACCTCCGACTCCTGGGTTCAAGCGATTCTGCTGCCTCAGTATCCTGAGTAGCTGGGATTACAGGCATTGCAGGCATGCACCACCACTCCCGGCTAATTTTTGTATTTTTAGTAGAGACAGGGTTTCACCATGTTGGCCAGGCTGGTCTCGAACCCCTAACCTCAGGTGATCCGCCTGCCTTGGCTTCCCAAGGTGCTAGGATTACAAGCATGAGCCACCGCGCCTGGCCTGGAGTTTTATTATTACTCAAATCAGTCTCCAGGAGCATTGGGGGAGCAGAGTTTTTAAGGATAACTTGGTGGGTAGGGGAAAGTCAGTGAGCCAGGAGTGCTGCTGATTGGTCAGAGATAAAATCTTAGGGAGTCGGAGCTGTCTTTTTGGGCTGAATCAGTTCTTGGGTCCAGGGGCCACAAGATCAGATGAGCCAGTTTATCGATCTGAGTGGTGCCAGCTGATCCATCAAGTGCAGGATCTGCAAAATATCTCAAGCACTGGCCGGGCACAGTGGCGCACGCCTGTAATCCCAGCACTTTGGGAGGCCAAGGCAGGTGGATCACCTGAGGTCGCGAGTTCGAGACCAGCATGACCAACATGGAGAAACCCCATCTCTACTAAAAATACAAAATTAGCCGGGTGTGGTGGTACATGCCTGTAATCTCAGCTACTCAGGAGGCTGAGGCAAAAGAAATGCTTGAACCCGGGAGTTGGAGGTTGTGGTGAGCTGAGATCACACCATTGCACTCTAGCCTGGGCAACAAGAGTGAAACTCTGTCTAGAAAAAAAAAAGAAAAGAAAGAAAAAAGAATCTCAAGCACTGGTCTTAGTTTAGGGAAGGTTAGAATCTTGTAGCCTCCAGCTACATGACTCCTAAACCATAATTTCTAATCTTGTGGCTAATGTTAGTCCTACAAAGGCAATCTAGTCCCCAGGCAAGAAGGAGGTCTGCTTTGAGAAAGGCCTGTCTTTGTTTAAACTATAAACTATATATATAGGTTTCTCCCAAAGTTAGTTCAGCCTTTGCCAAGGAATGAACAAGGACAGCTTGCAGGTTAGAAGCAAGATGGAATCAGTTAAGTTGATCTCTTTCACTGTCTCGGTCATAATTTTGCAAAGGCAGTTCAAGCTGAGATCGCACCACTGTACTCCAACCTGGGTGACAGAGCGAGACTCTGTCTCAAAAAAATAAAAATAGAAATAAACTCATAATAATCTTTGAAGCGGGTACTACTATGAAATATTAGTTCCATCTCACAGAGGAGGAAACTGAGGTTTAGAAAGTCTGAGCAACTCGCTCAAGTCCTCCCTTGATGGAGAAAGCTGACCCACTGAAGCCCCCAACAACTTCCAACTGGACACTTGGAAATGTGGGGGGAATATTCTAGTTTGCCATGGAGCTGAAATCATCCGGGCTTTAAAGACCCTCCCATGCCCCCGTTTGTGGTTAACTCCTGCATCCTTGCTCCAGGGAGTGGCCTCCACCTCTCTATTTTGAAGGAGAATGATGTCCATGGCCACCAAGGTCAGAGGCCAAAGGACAGAGCTTTTCTCTGATGCCCAGGAGCCTTGGCAGGAGGAGTGCTTGGAGACTTGAGAGTCAGAGACTGGGGAAATCTGGGTAG